TTTCCTCGGAGACTTTTGCTGAGGACCCGAGCCGTTCTGTCGGGTGTGAGCGCCCTGCCAGTATCCTAGTCCACCCTCTTCGGTGATTAGGAAGTGGTCGATGGTCCTCTTCCAGTAAAACCTAGCCATGGGAGACAAAGTGTCTACGGGTTATAAGCTCACAGCTCGATTGGCATAGAGCATGAGCGTCACGCATTGTCTCTGACGGTGGGAAGGCACCTCCGGGTGCTCAATGATTTGATACTGCCCGCCTCAAGTCAGTCAGCCCCTGGTCAAATTGGTGCAAACCCTCCAAAACCCAAATGCGTCTGACCGTTGTCGCCGGTCCGTATCTTACAACCGTCGCAAAACATAAGTGAATCGTTGCAGTACTTCAAAGGCTGCGTGTGGCGGACCTCAAGCAAATCCCAATCTGTTTCTGCAATCACAGTCCCGTGTTGGATCTGCTCCACGCTGGCTTGTGAGTCAGGCTATTGAGCCGAAGGCTCCGGGCGGAGTCCCTCAAGCAAACCTCCAAACCACCCACTGCCTTATGGGTCAGGCTGTAGAGCCAAAGGCTCCGAGGGGAGTCCCTCAAGCATAACTCCGAAGCACAACCGCCACGTGTGCGATTGTCCACCAATTCAATCGTATGCGTGCGAGCAAAGCACTCAGCGCCGGGTGCTGGAACGCGCGCACACTAAAGGACCGGAACTCGAGTGAGCGCCATGCGCGACGCACTGCACTGGTACCTATGGAATTGGCGCGATGCAACATCGATATTACGATGCTCAGTTGGATCCGGTTCGCTGAGCAAGGTAAGTTGCATGAAGCAGCTGCTGGCTACACATTCTACTGCGTGGTCAAAGCCACCTCAGCACCATGTGAACATGACGTTGGATTTGTACTATCCGATCGTCTCCATGGCCAGCTCGTGGGTGAACCAACAGGCATCAGCCCGCGACTGAGAACTATTCGCCTACGACTCAGAAGGGGTAAGTTTGCCACTACGGTCCGATCAAGTGTTATACTGATACCACGCGTGATCAACTCTACATCGCTATGCTCCGTGATACGATGTGTGCCGAGCAGCGACCGACCATTTCTGCTGGGTGATTTCGACGCGCGCGTTGGGCATGATGCATCGGTCCGCATGGCATTGGTTCAGCGAATGGGCACGGTGACAGGCTGCTCTCACTGTGTGGCACTCATGGCCTGACGATCACAAACACTCGGTGTGCACGAAATGGTCAAGCTCATCTGCTCAATTATATCATCGTACGTCAGCGTGCCCTGTGTGATGTGCGCATGACATGTGTACTGCGTGGAGCTGTGTGTGACATTGATCACAAATTAGTGCACACCAAACTGTACATATATTTTCGTAAACCTACATATTGCACTCCTGTCGTGAATCGGCGTAAATTTAACATTCCCCTCAGTACTGTGGCGAAACGTATTGTGCTGGGGAAAGCGATGGTTGTATACATGTGTGATGTAGAGTGCATAACCTCAGTGGGCGACCTGGGGCACGACATTCGCGACCAGGTGACAGCTGCTGCAGAGGGGACCATTGGGCGTGCAAACTGTAAGCGGCCTGATTGGTTTGATGAGAACAATGCGACGATTGGTGCGTTAGTGTGTGAGGAGAATGCAGCGTTTGCTGCACATGTCGCAGACCCCAGTGCCTTGGGGAAGAAGAAAAGGTTTGGAACAGTTTGACAGAAACTGACCCGAGAGCTCCGTCGCATAAAAAATGCATGGCGGACGGTAAAGGCGAAGCAGACGGAAGGCTACGCCAAGTGGCGCCAACACAAGGAATTCTTTGACTCTTTAAAAGTCGTATATGGACCGAGGTTGGAACCGATGATGACGCTGATCAATGATAGTTCAGACGCTGCCTGCAGACATTATGCAGATCTGGCGAAATCACTTTGACTTCTTCTTGAACAGCCGTTCAGAGATCGACTGGCCTACTTTGAGCGACCTGAAACGGCACGGTATGAAGGCAAGTCTGGCGGACGCGCCGACACTGGATGAGACACAGAGAGGACTTGCTCAGCTGCGAAACGGTAGGTGTGCCGGTGCCGGCGGTATCGCGCCTGAAATATTGAAACACACGGACTTGCGTTGGTGACTGCGCTGCACCACTTGGTGCAACGCGTGTGGATTGAGGAGGACGTGCCTCCTGAGCTGAAGGATGCCGTTTTACTGCCACTGTACAAGGGCAGAGGGAGCAAACAATGTTGCACAAATTATCGTGGCATCAATTTGCTGAGTTGTGTGGGCAAGATGATTCCCTGAATCCTGCTCAACCGCCTCGTCAATCAGGTTGTAGGACCGAACGTGTCGGAGGACAATGTGGATTCTGTTCGGGTCACAGCACTATAGCTGTGTTTGCGGCTCGTCAGATGCAGAAGTTTTGAGAACGACACCAGCCCCTGTACTCGCTTTTGTTGATTTCACCAATGCATTTGATACGGTAAACCGCGAGGCATTGTGGCTGGTATTTGGTAACTTTGGTTGCCCGCGTAAGTTTGTAAGTTTAATTGAATGTCTGCATAGTGGTATGCCAGCGAGGGTGCAGCTGAGTGGAGAGATCTCGGATGACTTTGCAGTTGTCTCTGGTGTGAAGCAAGGCTTTGTCTTAGCTCCTGTCTTCTGATATTTATTTTCACACAATGATGTCTTTTACTTTCGATGCGGCTTGTCTTTACGGTGTTCCTGTAGATCACCGTATTGATCTTTGGTTGCTGAACATCCGTCGTTTCGGTGCGAGAACTCTAATGTGAGACAACTATCCGTATGTTACTGTTCGCAGACGACTATGCGTTTGCACCCAGCGCGAATGAGTTGCAGCACACGACTAGTGCTTTAGCTTCGACAGCGGCTAACTCTGCGCTCACCATCAACACAAGCAAAACTGTCTGTCTTTCAGCCTTTACTTTAGGTGCAATCTACAATGGTGCCGCGAGTCAGCATTGGGGATGACGTATTGGAAACCACTTCCCACTTCTGCTCCCTTGGAAGTGTGGTGTCGACTGACCAGCAGCTACACAGTGAGCTGCTTATCCGCCTCTCGAAGGCAGCGGTGGCATTCGGGAAGCTAGAGTACCGAGTGTTGAACAACCAACTTACCGTTGGCACGAAGCTCATGGTGTACGAATCCATGGTGCTGTCCCTTCTTCTATACTGCAGTGAAACATGGACGATGTACCGGTGGGATGTGCGATATTTCAAGGGCTTCCATCAACAATGTCTGCGACGGATTGTGCGCATTGATTGGTGCGACAGAGTTCCGAACACGGAAGTGTTGCGCCAAAATGGAATGTATGCAGTAGAGTGCGTACTTTTGCTGAGACGCCTTAGGTGACTCGGTCATGTGTGGCGTGTGGATTCAACGCGGATACCGAAGCAGCTATTATATGGTCAACTGCGTTTGGGAAGCGGCATGTGAGGTAACCAAAGTTTCGTGGCCGAGCTGTACGCTATCGGGCGCGTCCCCAGGTTGCGGATCGGGGAATGCCTTCCTTGTGGAGATAACTGCGAATAAGTCTCGTTTGCTTTGTAGGCGAGATGAATAAGCAGTCGGGTACAGTCAGCGGCAGCGTCTCAATGCGTGGGGAGTTCTGCGCTGGTCACTCAATTCTCCATTAAATACCACAAGTGCTCGTACGGCGCTGTGTCAAAGCCATTGTGACCGGCTGTAGGATCACTGACCACTCCTGTAACTGGGGTGAGTATCTAACGGAAGGCGGATGAACAACCTTGCCACGGGCTTCTCTGTGGGCTGCTTCAGAACATAAAGAAACCGAATGAGCTACTTGGCTGTCAACGGTCTACGTGAATCTTCCCGCTGCCTTGTGGGTCAGGTTTTAGACCAAAGGCTCGCGGTGGGGTCCTTAAGTCAACGCTCTTCCTCGGCCCTGGCAACCGGGAAGCTCAATGCCCACACAACACGGAACTTTGCTTCAATTCCTCTGATTCACTCTCTCCTTTTTGTTATTGTTACTCATGTGTTGTGGCACTCTGCCAAATGTTTACTTGGCAAGTGACGTATATATATATATATATATATATATATATATATATATATATATATATATGATACATTCATGATGCTTCTTCACCGCATTTGGGCTAAACCAACTTACACTTAAACTAGGTCTTTTTAATGCGGATAAAATTCATTACACTTTATCTCGTTTGTTCTGCATACCTGGCAGTCTTCTTCTAACTTGCACACGTCGCTCATGCAAATTGTGGTAAACTTGCATAATTTTGTCGCGTGGTAATTTTTAAATAACTTCGGACATTTTGTATTTATCGCGGATTCACTCATAACTAATTTCTTCCATATGCTCATTTAGCGAGTATTTATGTCGTCATATGCGTTTACTTTATTCGATATCGGCATTTTGAGTGATTGGCTGTTGTTTGACATCCCAGGTGTGGCTGCGCTTGATGTGCATGTTGACAAGGTGCCTACTTGTCTATTACCCACTGCCTCATCCATACTGGCTCCAGGAGACAGTTGCTGGAGGGGACGGGGCGCAGGGTCTTTGTGGTCGTGCTAGGCTCGAAGATTGGTTCCACGCACTCAGTGTGGGGCGGACTACGGTCCAGCCACCGCATTGTGTGCGTTTGATTCCCAAATACAGTGCATGTGTTTGCCTGTGAAAGAGTGTGGGCCGGCTTTGTTGATGAAACGTGGCTCCTGTCCGCATGCTTTCCGGTCTTCTTCCTTCGGGTTTACACTGGATATGGGGTGTGTGGTTGGAGCTTTGGGTGATGCAGCGCAAGCCACCCATGGTCCCTCTGTAGGCGCAGGCATCCTGTGGCTGCTTCCGTTTAGGCCACGGTGACCGGTAAATCCGGATACGGATGCCGCCAACCCATATATCTATATGTGCACAGGGATTTCTTTCTGGTGAGGCTTTGAACTGCGGACATCTATTAAACTTGTATTTAATTACATAATTTTTTCATAATGATTTTCTCGAATTGATTTCCTTTGTCAGGGTGAGTTTCGTACCCAGAAAGAGGCCTGCTGGGTCATTAGCAACATGGTCAATGGTGGATCCGCTGAACAATGTCGTTATCTGTTGAACCAACGGACCGTACCGGCGTTGTGTAACTTGCTCAATGTCTCTGAAGCACGTGTGATCATTTTGGTTTTAGAGACCTTGCAAAAGCTGTTTGAGGTAAGTGTCTCAGTGCCCTACGTATACTCACCTACACCACCTTTCCTGACGTAATTTCTGGCAGTCCATGTATCGGGTTGCAACGTCCTCTTAGTACTCTATCCAATAAACATTTACCTTGTTAATCCAGTTAGTTTTAGCTTTTCCACTTATAGTGACTAATTAACTTAGAAATGGGATGGGGCGGAAAACCTAAATAAGCCTATCGCAATTTATGGTGCTCTACGCTCGTTCTGCTTGTTTTTTGCCTTTCATTAAAAATACTCATTTCATTTACCAACCTCACCCTTGTTGTTAAAAACATCTGAATTCTGTGTGCGGTGCACTACGACGCTTGCCATAATTCCAAGCACCATAGCACAATGCGATGAACTTTGAACTTGATCAAGTTAGTTCATTTAAGGAGCCAAAATGGTAGAGGCATTAATTTCAGTTGTTTTTTATTACGCTATTGTTTGACGCTTTGTTCGCGACCGGATATTAGCAAACAAGCTGTTGGTTTCTGGTGTTTCCCTCTTCCAACTTCAGTTGCCAATTGCCAGTCAGTGTTACCACTGCTTCCTTAGCTAGTTGGATGTCGTTCGCATATCCGTTTCATACATGTTTATAGTCTTTGTTGGCGTTGCTCGTATGAATGTCGATACCCCAGTATTGCCCTGACCACTACTCTGCACGGTACAGTCTTCTGACTATTAAAGGAATTCGTAACTAATCGCTTCTGAGCAAACCCTCTGGATATCAACTTCTACGCTCTGAACTTTAAACCCACATGATTTCAGTTCAGATGAACAACTCAAATCCGTGCACCTATGTGCAAAGGTTCACTCGTCACGGCTCGCATCACTGACAGCAATGATAAGAAAATGGAGTAAAGTGTAAACGGTATACGAAAAATGGGGGGTTAAGTAGGAACGATGTGAATTTAATCGAAATGTCACACTAACAGATGAATGCGAGAAACCGAATGCAGGAATTTCACTGACTGCACGGCTGTGCCACGTCCGATAGAACGTGATTTAGACTATCTTGAAGCCCCAATCCACGAAGATAGCATGCAACAGTCTGACCAAGTCAGTCAATTTTCGCATGCCTCTATGCCACGTCATAGATGGGTCACTTCACGGTTTCGCCCAATTTGGTGCAGCAACGGCGTATAATGCACCACGGGGAAAGCGGTCGACGGGCTTGCGTCACTTGTGTTCTTCAACTCACCTTTATGTCTATTCCAGTGTTAAACTCACGACGCTTATTCATCATTGACAACTGATAGACCAGTTCGTCGCGTTATCATGGAATTGCGAATTGCCTTCTCTTTACAAGTGAGAAGCTCAGAAATTGGACGCCATTTTGTGGTGAGGATAGTGATCGCCACTCGTGCACTTATTAGTGCATGTTCTGAATGCAGGCACATGCTCTAACTTAGACTGTTGTGCGCCATTTATAGCTGATGGCAATGTGATCACTTTGGGTCCAGTTCATCGACGAATTCGTCAGGCGCTAATTGACACGATGTGAGTATTTGTGCTGGTAAGCAGTTTTGTTGATATAAAACATTGTGATCAGCACATAGTTGCACGAATCGATCGCCATTATAAGTTCGGCGTGCAGCGATCCTGAAGCTCACCATCATCATTATACATGTTTGCTAGAGGTGAAAGACACCTCAGCTACTGTGCCGCAATACATTTTAAAAAAAAAACCACGCAACAGGTGCATGCCAGCTGAGCTACCAGTAACGGATAGGCATTGTACCGGAAAACTACCATCCGGCAAATACGCAACAAAAAATTTATTATGCAAAGATATATTATTTTAGGATATGTCCTCTTTGTTAGAGGGATGGGAAGAGAAAAAGAAACCCACCGCACCAACGCCATTGCGGTCGGCTCCTAACCTTGTCATTAAGCGTATCCAGCCAAACCTTCATCCTCTTTCGGATCCCAACCAGGGAGCCGAAACGCTCCAACCGAAGTGAGGGTCTTCATTTCTCTCGGCCAAGTCATCGCCTGGCCACCTCTGTTCTCCCATCCACACCCCTGACGCGCAAATATAACCCACGTCGCGGGAGTCGGTGGGCTGGCATGCGTAACACGTGGCCGAGCCATCGGAGCCTGTTGCGTGAATAAACGATGCTAGGCGGTTCCGTTCTTTGTCCTGTACCGTAAACAAGGCGTCGAACACGCTATTAACTCACGCGGTGTTCCCACCAGATGTGAGCCAAGCTGCGAAGGCACCGGTGGTCGAACGTAACTAGCCTCTGTATGTCGTCTGATCTAAGGGGCCAGGTTTCAACCGTACAGTAGGGCCGAATGTACGGCTACATTGTACACTCTACTTTTCAGGGAGAGAGTGATGTCGCGCAGGCACCATACTTGGCGAAGTTTAACAAAAGCGACTCAAGCTTTCTCTATACTGTTCGTGATCTTGTCCTCGATCCCAAGATCGCTGATACAAATGACCATGTAGTTGAATTTTTGAACGACTTCTAGCGGACCCCCACCAAGGTTCAACGCAGGAGGCGATCCCTGCCAATCTTGAAGAAAAGCTTTGCACTTCGAGGGAGCAAAGCATAGCCCGATGCGGTTGACAGCCAGTGCTACCTTGTTCTGTGCCGCTTGGCACGTATGGGAGCTGTCACAGATAAGGGAAATGTCCTCTGTATATTCCAAATCAAGAAGTCGTTTGCCTGGGAGCAACTCACCTTCTAAGTCGTGCCATGTGAACGCGATCTTCATAACCTCGTCAATAGCGAAGTTGAGGAGGAAAGGTGACAGCAGGCATCCTTGTCTCACACCGCTGGAGATGTTGTAGGGCGGCGACAGCTTGTCGTAAGCCCTCACTCTGCCCGAGCTACGCACGGATAATATTTGCCTATTACTGGGGCTCACCTTTCCTGAGTAAACAGTCCCAAAAAGCACATCGATCAACCGGATCGAATGCACCTTTGATGTCGAGGAACACGACAACGGTGGACCCCCGATATGTGTGACGGTGCTCCAATAGCCGACTCAACGTGAAGGTTGCTCGATGCAGCCACGACGTCAACGAAACCCGGTTTTCTCTTCACGAATATCAGTCTGTGGAGGATGACAGACAAGCAATTTGGAGGCGATGGAGATCAGATTGATTTCTCTGTGGTTGCTACATTCCGATCGTGAGCCTCCCTCGAAAATTAGGACTATGACAGGGCGGCTCCAGTCGGTTGGGACAGTTTTCTGTCCCCACAGTCCCACTAGTAACTCGTGTAAATCATCCACGAGAACAGGTCCTCCAATTTGAAGAGGGCTAGATGAAAATCATCTGGTCCCGCGGCTTTATTCAACTTCAGAAGTCCGATCTCACGTTCGACTTCTGAGCGAGAGGGCGAATCCAAAGAGAGCCCAGGGGGGCAGGACGGTCAGTGGCCGGCGAAAAATTTAACAATTCCGATCGATTAAATTGCCTTTCAAAATGCTCAGCCCATTGCTCTAAGCGTTTTTACAAGTTGTAGATAGGCTGTCTACTCTCCTCACGTATAGATTCACTGACGCCAGGTCCCCTGCTGTCCGTTTCCCGTATCAGATGAAATAATCTCCGATGGTTACCAAAGGCAGCAGCCATCTCTGACGCACTGTGAAACCACGACTCGCGATCTTTCTTCAGGCTAGGACGGAGTTTTGCGCGGAGCTCTTTGCGAGTCTCATTGTGTTCGATTCCAACCGGAATGTGCCGGTGAGCATCGATAAGTTCCGGAGACGCGAAGAAGACCCAATGTCCATACTCGCTATTAGACTTACCACATAAACATTGGCCTGCTGCTTGTATGGTCTGGTGAACATGAGACTAGTGACCTTCAGCTGTATCCAGTGAGCGCTTATTCAACCCGCATGTCAGCGTGCTTCGATACGCATTCGGAACAGCTAGCATTACCACTTGGATAGTGTCAATGCGCTCACAACGTCGTCGTGGGCGTCCGCCAACACGTATCTGCAGGTCAGCACATACAAGTGCATGATCGATGTCCACACATGTGCTCCAAATCGGGCGACAGTTCTGGACGCAGCCTCTCCAGCGGTAAGTTTTCGCAATGTGATCGATTTGCGTCCATAACATGTTTAAGGCTCGTGCATGCCAAATCACCCTTCGGCGTATTCTTTGTCGCAAGTTAGTGCTCGCGAGAAATAAGCGGGCATCTTCACACAAATGAAATGACCGTTCACCGTTATCACTACGACAGCCTACACCATGTTGACCGCCCAGATGCAGTTCATCAGTGGACAATTTCCCAACTTGAGCGTTCAGATCCCAACCAACACTACAGTGTCCGTGCTTCCTCTATGGCGAAAAAGCTCGTCCAATTGATTAGCCTTCTTACCGAATCATCGCTGCAGTTTGTGGGCGCGTAGGCATAGATGACGAATACACACCTATTACTCCCGCGCGATTTCGAAGCTTTGAACTAGCCAGCCAGTCGAACCGTCCACATCCGGCTACTGATTGGGATCCAATCAACTAGAACAGATTCAGCCCGGGGACTCAGAACAATACCAACACCGGCTTGGCCGGCGCTCGAAGCTGCATCGTCATCGGATAGGCACAATGAGAAAGTACTGCTGGTGTCACCTGAAGGGGATCGCAAAGTGAGCACAGAGGTTGAGTCTTGCAGGCGGGTCTCCGACAAGCAGCAGATATCGCTCGATAGGATCTCTAATCTCCGGTCAAGTGCTGCCTGTTGACCGATCTGTAGCAATGTGCGTACATTGAGACATGCCAATCTGAAGGATAATAGAGAGCTCCAAATGGAAGTCGATGAACTAGGCTTCATCGCTTGCTTGGACATGGGCTTGTCAACTGGGCAGTAGTGACCATCCGCCTTTGCATGTGAATTGCAACTAGAAGCTAAACACTTATCAAAGCAAGGTGGGGGAGGGTCAGGACTTGGGGGTTGAAAACGGGGGGAATAATAGTGAAGTTGCAACGGGACGATAGAAGTGAAAAAGCGTGAGGGGGAATAAGAAGACAGGACTGCTTGAACAGTAGCTTCCAAACCTCTATCCACCGTGCTCGGTACAGCAGATGGGGCACCGTTCATTATTTTCTGCGCAGGATATTATCAGGTTGCCCAGGTCTGGACAGAAGAACGATTAGGGTTCTCAACCTGACCGCAAGGCAGCGGTTTTGGCAGAGGGCTGCAAGGAGTCCGTTATAAGGGATAAGAAGCCACCCTCATCCTAACCCCCCCCCCAACCTGGAAGGCCAGGAGGCTGAGTTTGTCGAGCCTCTACCCATTGACCAATCTGGTATGAGGGGCTCTAAAGGTGCAAAAAAGCACCACCCAGCATAGCTAAATGGGTCTCTGAGGCAAGCAAACCATCTCACTACGCTAAGATCCAGCGTCATTTCGAGTCCCGAAGCTACCACCAAGCTGTCGTTCACAATTTTATGAGTGGCCCACTTAGCCATCCATGTCACCAGCAAAAATCACATTATATTTCGCCATACAGATAAGAGATGAGAGCTGCAGATAGCATTTATCTTTGCTACCCCCGAACTGCAGTCGGTGGTGGCGTGCACTTGTTAACTTAATCAAGAGGCGATATCAACGGCATTCATGTCGCGACTTTCTCTGTCGCCCGCTCCGCTTAGATTTCCCCTTCAGCCGCAATCTCATTACTGGCACACAGTACTATTACCATCTAAGTGCTCCGCATTGCGGTACATTGTGTGGGCTTTTTCTGACTTCTGCCTAATGTATAGAAGAATGATATTCGAATCCGATAGTATGTTGACTATCGGACACTTTTCATCTTTTCCGAGTGCTAGTGTGGCCATTTCTCTCCTAGAGGGAAGTCGTTGGTCGGTCCGTGATCGAAAAGATTGCACGGCTGCTCTGTAGTCCGGGGGTTGCTGGTTCGAGCCCGCATAGGGAACCGGGCTACCCTCGCGATATTCTTAGCCCAAGCGCGATTGATGGTGGTTGCATGACAGCGATGCGTCAGTACTGCTTACCGGCGTACTGCTGATGACTGATGGATAATCATTTTCCCCACCGGTTCCGTTATACACCGTTCTCAGAGGGAACCGCCTCACTGTCTATCGCCTTCAAGCTACTGGTATCCGTTTTGCACTACTGACTATCCTCGAATAGTAAAGTGCACACCTTTTGTCCACCCACTCAGGACTGAGAAGTATGTTATGATAACTACCGCTATCGCTATCCTTTGGCAAGACGAGGCTTTACAGCACGAATGATGTATGACAGGGTTACTCCATGTCCAAGATTATCTCTTTTTCAGTTCAGTTAAGCAACTATGATCCGAGCACCGATGTGCGCTGGATACCCTGCTAACACGAACGCCCGACAGGCACCCGATGGTGCCTGAAATTAGTCCCATTGACACAAATTTCCGGCGGTCGTGGCACCTGAATTTCGGACGCTCAAGGAAAATTTTTCGCAGCATTCTCCCACTCTCTGATTGCTATTTCACATTCGTTCCAGCGTAGTCCGCATACTGTGGTTGCACGCACGAACATCATCTACAGCGCGCTTAATTAGTATTATCGTAGAAATGCTGACTGACTAAAAGCCTGAGATTATACCTGTTGTGAAATAATTTCGGGCGTTCAGAAAACGAAATGCCTTTGCATTCCGCCACTCGCGCATACATATTATCCACGCAATCTACCTTGTTCAGACGCATAATACATA